CCACGTATCGGTCACCTGTAAACCTACCAGTTACTCCTCATGTGTTTTAGCCACAACTAGGCACCAACTCCATAAACAAGCTGCAATGTCTGTTCCTTACAGGAAACCTCCTCTGTTGCTTTTAAGAGCAGGAGAGATATTACATGAAACAGAAGCGTTAAATTAAATTACACACTTTATTCTGCTTCTCCCTAACTGACTCTTCTGGATCAATTTCCATCTGCCAACTCCTCATTTCATCAAAAACCACCAAAAAATGGGTATAAGATTGCTCTTCAKTACTTGCCTCCCAACCCTAAACTGGTACTTTGAGATTTATCTCGTCTACAAGGTGCTTTGAGACCAACTGATTAAAAAGAATGCCCTAGAAGGATTGGGCTCTGTTACAACCCCAAATCTGGATCACTATCTGGTCATGGTGATCCCAACAATCCTCCAAATAACGTGGACATTTCTTTCTGTGGTCTAGGTAAAAATGGAGAGATTCCAGCACTCCTCTGAGACTGAAACACATCAGAGTGCAAGAGGGGGAAGTGCAATTCTGTTTTCCAAGTACAGGGGCTAGGAAGTGTTCAGATTTTTCCTCTTTTTAGTTATTAGATGTGGTGACGCTTCTCTGACGGATGGGCTCCAGCCCACGTGAACCAGTTGCTGTGCGATGGTGACATCTCCACCGTGTCTCAGGGCAGCGTGGAGGCAGAGCCCCCGGCTCTCCCTGGGCCATTCTCTGTTCAATGTGTGGCCCCCGTCACAACCCGCGCGCCCGATGATGGGGCTTCRGGCGAGGCTGGGGAGGTGACGCTCCCTGGGTATCTCCTCCCGTGGTGGCGCGGCCGCGTGCAGCGCTTGGTGCAGCCCGTGGCGGCCGCGGAGCCCACGCGCCCCCGGGGCTGCAGCGCGGGACAGGGGCCTTCATGGGCTGCCTTCCAGTCCTGGTCCCCGCACAGAAAGGAAGGTTCCCTTTGCAGCAGGGCAGGGGGTTGCTGCGAGCCAAGGGAGGGGTTTCTGTTTGCTTGKTTTTTTTCCTTTTTAAATTATTTGGAGAAGGAGAGCTCTCCCTGAGGCTGTGGAGAAAGATGAGCAGCTCTATGGGCAGCGAGACACGCTCGGCACCCTGAAGCCCTGACATAAAAGTGAGAGCAGCAGTGGGTTAAGGAGAGATCCCTGTGCCGCGGGTAGGGGAGGTCGCCCGGCCTGATGCTCCCCAGGAACCAGGCACGGAAACGAGCGGCGCTTTCCATGCGCTCCCTTCCCAGCAAGAGCCCTCCCTAGCGCGTCGCTCCCACCGAGGGCACGAGTGGCAGCAAAAGGGCTCTGCCGGGACCCCCTCGCTGCCCGAGCTCCTTTCCCACCTGGGGAAGCCACGGGAAGAGCGAAGAAGGGAACGYGCGGGCAGAGCGCTCTGGAGAGCAGCTGTCCCGCGGCGGCTGCAGGCTCCAGCTGGCTCCGTTCCYGGACGCCAGCGTCGCACGCGTGGCCGTGCCCCTTCCCGGGCTGCTGCTCCCCAGCTCGGGGCGCTTTCACCGCCGGCACAGCAAGGTCAGCACGGTGGACTGATGGCTGGTCAATGGATCGCTGGGCTGGCAGCTGCTCACGCAGGATTCGCGTCCGGGAGGGATTGCTCAGCAGCGTGCTGGCGTCCAGCTCTGGCAGCTGACGCGGCTGGAAAGCGCCTGAACCTTCCTGGTCTCCCGCGACTTCCTAGTACCTCCTTCTGCCCTCTGCCTTCACTGACAAATTCTCGGGTTCACATTACACTGCGGTAGCTCTGTCTTAAAAACAAAACAAAACAAAACAAAACAAAACAAAACAAAACAAAACAAAACAAAACAAAACAAAACAACCTCCCTACACTAAGATGTCTTGTGGAAACATGTCCCCAACCCCAAAGAATCTCATCCCCCGGTAAAGGACATTTTAACACTTTTGCATTCTGTAGGTCTTGTCTCATATTTTCAAGCACACCCTTTCTCCTACTAGCCCAAAGCAATGATTCTAATTACACTTTCAGCTTCTCATAGGGAAATCAGTAGAGCCACAAAACCTTAACTGTATCTTGACATTTTCTGCATCTGTAATTGAATCTGGTTTGTGCTTCCTGTTATTTTACACACAAATAATAATGCACACAAAGAATATTCTTATAGCCAGAGACTAGGCCCCATCAATTCTGCACCCCTCTAGCATGTATTTCTGGTATCTCCAATGCAACCATTGCACGTGARATGGCACCCGGAATTCCTCCCGAATTCCTACAGAATTCCTGCTGCAATCACAGTTATTAGCCAGGATAATTTAGAAAGTGCTCAGCCCTGAAGGATTCCCCACTAGCTCTACCCCTTAACGAGACAGATTGCCTTTCCTCCCRTACCCTGACTCTCCATTTCTTAGACATCACAGCTCCCAGCGCGTATGAAATGGTGCAACTGGCAGAGCTGACATTTAACTGCCCATATGTGACAGACAGACACACAATCACACGTGCGCCGGGCATCCCTGGGTTCCCCACGCAAACTTAGCAGCAGTTGCCCTCGCGGCCCTCGGTGCCGCCTGTGCCGAAGCTCCAGCGGTTTCTCCTCATCCCGTCACCGTCGCGGTCGGGCTGGTTCCGTGCCGGCCCGGGGACCCCGCACATGCAGGTGAGACCCAAGTGCCCCCTGCCCACCGCGAGTCCCCGGGCACGAGGCCCCGGYGAACAAATCCGCAGCTGGGAGCAAGGGCTGCTCGCTCGCGGGTATCCGGACTCGCCATCAGTTCCTGYGGGAATTGTATCCTTCTGGCCTCTGCTGAAAGCCCGTCAGCTCATACTGGTGTCTGGGGAATCCTCTATGGAAAAGCTCCTCCTTCTTCTTGGAGCTCACCCAGCAGTTACGGCACCCACTCACTCGGGTTGGTTGTGAGAAGCTTCTGCCCACTTGCTTCTGTCTCTGTCTGGAGACACTGGTGACCAGCCACTTCAATGCCCAGGGATACGGTGCTACTCCACACGGTCCTCCCAGAGATCCTGGTGAGAACGGTCAGCATGGAGAAGAACTCTGAAAACAATTCCTCTCATCCAAGTTGTTGCTGGTTCCTTTTCTCATCCAAATACGTAACTTCCACATGGTTGATGGGCCACAGATTCCCTTCTTTATACAGTCCCCAGGCTTTAAAGTTCAATATAGGTCATTTCTGCTCCACAAGATCTAAATCAAACAAGATTTCCAAATCTTCTTCCTTTCCTTGAGGTATCTGTGGTATCAAGCAAAGGATCATGAACACATTTCTCTTGCAGGATCAAGCTTGTCCATATTTTGTACGTGGCTTTGAATATCCACACAGGCACTCTGTATTTGTTGATCTGAAACAATTTCCAAAAGGATTATATGACCACACAGGGTCATTTTCCAGAGCTCCCCAAGAAACCATCCAACAGCGTTTTAAATTCCTCCAGGCCTGGTTTTAGAGCATCCTGCCAGCTCTGGYTTCTGGGCAGACTCCACCACAACCACGAGACCTCTACGAACGAGCACATCCCTTCCAGCAGCAGCAGCCCAGCGCCCATGCGGGCAGCATGAAAGCACTTCCCAACGAGGAATATTTGTGAGGGAGGCAGGTGTGGTATCATGCATTTATTTGCTGTACACGACTCCTCCTACTTTGCAACCGAGATGCGCAAGCGGCTGCGCTCTCCACAACAGCCACGGGCACTGCAAGAAAAAGCTCTGGCTGTCTCCCTCCCAAATCCCCCAACGCCTTTTCCCTCGGATGCATCCCAGCACCGTGAAGAGCCAAAAGCTTCAAAGTCAGCAGATTTTCCACACCGTCCTCTGGGGTGGCACCACTCAACTGATTCTTCACCAATAAAAATAATGCAACAACAGTAACTCCATTTGTTTTTCCAGAACATGGAGAATAGAACAGACACTAGGAAAAAAAAAAACATTTTTTATTCAGTTGAAAAGAAGTCATTTACTCAATCACATTATCTATGCTAAAAATGATTTTTTTTTTTTTTTACTACACCAGCAGTTAAATATTTTCAGCACCAGTTCAGGACACATTAGTGACATATATCACAACAGGTCTATTTCCTAATGTAGAAGGACATACTAACTTTTCAGGAGCTGCTACTGGGAAAGCAGTAGGCAGAAGACTGCCCTTTCTTTCCAAACACTTTTCAGTGAGAGTAGTAACTTCTAGAAATAAATAACTGCCAAATTATCTCCCAAACCTTTAAACCGATCTTTAAAAATAGAGTTAAAATAGATATCTTACTATGAGCTCTCAYAGAGTTTCCATTTTATGTGCCCAAAACTGAAAAATGCGAGTGGTTGAGCAAGCATCCAGGAGGGAACTTTTGGAAAGAGTTCTGCCCTCCCCACAATATCCATTCCCCTTTATCCCAGGCTGTGCCGGGCAGCCCCTGTCCAGAGTGATCCCTACCAGCGGGCACTGGTTGATGCCACTGGGACCCGGGGCCTCCTGCGGGGGAGAGCCGCCACGAAGCGGCGAAACGCGACGGCCTCGCGCAGGAGCCCAGCGCATCCCGGCACCTCCGTCCCCAGCGTCCCGCAGATACTAAGCCTGGATGCACGGAAGCGTCCGGGGGCTTCCTCTGGCCGGGCGGCTCGGGAGGGCAGTGCTGCCGGCAGAGCTGAGCAAGGCAACAAGCCAAAAAGCAGCAGATCCGAGTGTCCCGCTGTCCTTTCAAAGCAATCGAGTCCGCACAAAACCAAAGGAGGCAAGGTTAAAATGAAGTTTATTAGTTTTTTTGGTTTTTTTAAGCTTTTTTTATATAAAACTGTTTGTGAAACAGCTATTTTATTCCCATGGCAGAGTGACCCCTGAAAGATGCACTAACCCCTTTCTTAAGGCCTTAACAAGAAAAAAAATTGTCTCTCCTTAAACCCAAATGTTTAAAAATTACACAATTTACAAAAAAAAAACCAAAAAAAAAAAAAAGAAAAAAAGAGTAGTCGGTGAAGCTGACATTCCCTCTTCCTTCCTTTGGAAAAGCAGAACAGAAAACGAAGCCGGGTAACTGTGTTTTCCCGGGCAGGTTCAACACACTGATTCGAGCAACATTCAGACCTCCTCTCGTGTCCCCCGATCTGGCAGGGAGAAAGACCCAGTGTCGTCCTCCTCCCACCTGCCTTCGAAACTGAAGGCAACTTCGTGGGGCGTTTTGGGGCCGTACTTGGTTGCAACAAGGGGCAGAAACTCCTTTTTGGCCCCCAGGTGGAAGGGAAGCTCCCGTGTGAGGAAGGTCAACGTTTGGGTGTGAGCTTGGCAAGCGGCAGGGATCTCTCCCTTCATCAGTGATGGATCTAGGAGTATTTAGGTGGTTTTCAAGCTCCCGCTATTAAGAAAGAGCGTTTCTCACAAACGCCTGTCGTTGTGGCCCTGCCTTCCTCCCACCTGACACTCAACGTGCGTGAGTTTGCCTTTTAAAATGGAACTTGCTTGAGCGTGGATACAAAGCAAGCAAGAGGAAGGGAGACAAATCCAGGGTGCAATACTCCTAGTTCCACTGCTCTTGCCAACAAAATGTGAGGCTCCAAGAGCCTTCTTYTGATTCTGCACTTAATATTTACTTTAACTACAGAGTTCTAAATTTAACTGGGTTTTTGTCATTTTAATCAAAAGCATCAAAAGGGATAGCGCACCTTTCATTTAAAACAAAGTCTTTCAAGACTAAAAAATAGATCTTTATATATATATATATTTATCCCTCCCTCTTTAATTCCCCCCACCTGTTTCCTTTTTTTTTTCCCCCTCCCCTCCCCACTGTCACTATGGAGATTGTGTCCATGGAAACAGCTGGTTCGGACTCCTTGGTCAGATCCGGCGATGTCCTCAGTCTGGGGTGTGATGGACGAGTTGATGAAGGAAGTGCTGGCATCGGCAGGCACGTCGCGAGGGGGCATGGCTGCGCGGCGGCGGAGATTCCGCTCGGCGGGAATGTCCTCCGCGCTTTATCTCAACAGCCTCACCTGCAACACAGAGCGGCAGCGGTCACGTCGGAGCGCGGCGGGACGCGCGGCCCGCGCTTCCCAAGGCTTGGCCCAATAACTCCACACAGGCCACCGAGCGGCCTGCAGATAACGAGCTGCTGTGAACGCGCACGAGAGGATGGAAYTGATACCAAAATCATCAGGCTCCACCTGCAGGAACCACACTCCTGAAATGACCGGAGTTCACAGAGCTAAAGCTATAGTTAGAATACTTACAGTTTAATTAATAGGTATTTTCATTGCCTTTTTGTTCCAATTGCCACCTTGTGATAGCAACAGTTAATGGAGGGACTAAATTTGCATCTTTCAAGGCAGATMTTGGAAAAGTCCTATCCTAGTACTTGGCATTCTCTTTCTCCACGTTCAGAAATTCTCTGAGGAGAAAAAAATTAATTCCAGGAGTTCACCCAAGTTCACGGGGGCCTAGCTCAAAACAGAAACTGCAGGCAAAGTCAAAACCTCAGTTTTCTAAAGCCACTACACTCATCCTTAAACCRTACAGCCAAGAAAGCAAAGCTTGAAATAACATGTTCCTTTCTTCCCTTATCCCATAACCTAAGCGAGGCCCTGAACGGATTTATTTCTCTCGTATGATTAACCCCTTGGTGTAACTTAGGTAAGTCCTGTCCTACCAGTTAAAAAGACTGCGTGCAAAGCAAAAAGCTGAGCCCGTGCGTGCCACGTATGGAAAGCTGCTGGAAACATGGGGTGCGCGCTCCCAGGCGCACACATCAGCCCTGCTCACAGCCCGGGGGATCCCGCTCCAGGCTCCGGGAAGCAGCGGTGCTCCCCACCAGCACAGCAAGTGCGTAACGTCCCAGCATCTCTGGGCTGCAAAGATCCCCCCGTACGGGACACCCTGCGGACAGGAAGGAGGCCAGTCTGTATACGTGTACACGTCCATACATACGGAAGCGGCAGGCCGCGGAGTGGGAGCTCGGGAGGCGGCCAGGCCCGCGCCACGGGAGCCTTCCCGCTCGGCGTGCGGAGCCGCCGGCCCTGGCTCCCGCGCCACTGCAGCGTGCCCGGGCCTGGAGCGCGGCCAGAGCGAGCGGCAGCGCTTGGGCGGGGAGGGCTGAGCACAGCTCGCACACACACGCGGGCCCCGCTGCTGCTGGACGAGATCCAGGGCAGCGGGCTCGCTCTCCAGAGCTGGGCTCCTTCCAAAAGTTCCAGAGGCAACTGGCTCAGGGAGAGGGAAGCAACCTCAGAGACGCGATACACTCACTTGCTCGGGTACTCTCCAGCGCGCAGGGCTCTCCTGAACGCGCGGGGCCTCGGGGCGAGCCGGGGCCAAAGCTGCCCCCAATCTCACAGCCACCCACACTCTATCTCTACCAAAGACAAGCAGTAGGAGAGCGGCAGAGCTACGTGCACGGCCACAGAATCCCTCTGAATGTCTTCCCCTACCACAGCGCTGCAGCAAGCTTCCCTTCAGGAACCGGATTTTCGAGATTTTCAGAGTTTTATTTTGGGACGCAAGGTCAGCTTGAAGACCTTGACCTTCAGGCAAGTGTCAGCCTCGAAAGGGGTAGGTTAAATAGGACCTTGTAAGAACTACCTCGGGTAGAAGTGGAGTTGGAAAGAGGTGATGCCTCAGAGAGACGCCCAGATCACCCTGCAAACACGGTGCTGAGATCCAGAGCTGGTAGGGTCTGGAGCCAACACACTCTTATGACGCACTACATGCTTCAAAAAGAAGCCAGCGCTGGAAAAWATTGCAGGAAACAAAGTCTCGGGGACATACTGGTGTGTAAAAGCTCCCTGAAGAAATTCCCCGCAAAATCATCACCGAGAAAAAAACTGCTCATACCCCATAGTATACCATATTTATAAGATGTCTCACGGACACATTATCTATGAGACTATCATCCCATTTTAATATTATGAATTACGTGACCATTTACACTTTAAGGAAAAGAGGAAAGCTTAAATCAAAGAACCCTGGTGACCTTTACCAAGGAAGCAAAAAATTGCTCAAATAAAGAACTTTAAAGTTTAATATTATTTGCATGGCAACTTTTTAAATAACTCTCTAAAAATAAAAAAAGAATGTTGTTAAAGTGAAAAAAAAAAACAGAGCAGAGCTTAACCAAGGCAGCAGACTCTCTATGGAGCCTGTATGCCAAACACAGAGACATCTTCTGCAAAGATACTAAAAACCAGAGAATTCAAAAAACCACAATTCTTTGGCAAATCCCTCACCTGACATAGAAAATACCACTAAAACCACTTCAACGGTTATTCAGCTGGAGAAGTAAGAAAGGTTTTAAGGTAAGGGAAGACAGAAAATGCAGGGGGAAAGGCGACTRGTATACTTAGCTCACACAGCACACAAGATAAAGCAACCTCATTTACATGATCACAAGAAAAAGACAGAAAGGTACCTAGGCTGAATAAGAAATACAACTGAGCAGTGAAATAAGTCAAGATAGTTATGTGGGCAGCACTTTATGGGAAAAGACACTGGTAGGAACTGATCTGAAACCAAATCCTTGCTTCGTTTAGACCTCCCCGTCGCCATCAAATAGCGACGCACGTGGGGGAAATCAGGCACCATGAAATCCCATCCTCATCCCACTCCTCGGCGCTAATCTCCCCTCTGCTGCTCCCTCCTCGTGGCCAGGCTTTTGCCCTGCCACGSCGTGAATCGGATTAAGGAAAACGACCTACGACGCCAAGGAAATTCCCGAGCACGCGGCTGCCGGGCTGGGCAGGCAAGGAGGAGGGAAAGGGGCAGCTGGGGCCGGGGAGAGCAGCTCTCCTGCCCTCCCTGGCCGCTCACCCAGCTGCAGCTGGCCATGCAGGGAGATGGGAGGCAGGGAATACCCCAAACCCGGGAATGTGGGGCCGCTGCTCTCACCTCCCATCTCCTCTCGCCCACACGTGTCTGCGAACCGAGCCCAGCGCTGCTCTGAAAGCAGCGTCAYGGGCTCCCCGCAAGGTTCATTTATTCTGCCCGCCGGCGCTGCGGCAGCCTCGGGGGCGCCTGGCACTGCTCTAAGGAGCTATCAGGCAGCTGCAGCAGCCAACAGGCTCTGTTCCTTACCACTAAGCAGACGGCACCGCTGCAGAAACGCAAACCTGGAATCACCAGCCTTAACAGATTGGTAGCGGGAAAAAAAAATAATTAAAAAAGAGATTTAAGTAATTACAGTTTTTCTACACGTACACCTCTTGAGAGGTCCTGGAGAGCAGGGGAGGTGCCCAAGGACTGGAAGAGAGCCAATGTCACTCCAGTCTTCAAAAAGGGCAAGAGGGAGGAGCCGGGCAATTACAGGCCGGTCAGCCTCACCTCTGTCCCTGGAAAGGTGATGGAGCGGTTCATCCTAGAGAGAATCTCCAGGCATATGGAGGAGAAGAAGCTGCTGAGGAGCAGTCAGCATGGATTCACCAAGGGGAAGTCATGTCTGACGAACCTCATAGCCTTCTATGATGGGGTGACAGGCTGGCTGGACGAGGGGAGAGCCGTGGATGTTGTCTACCTTGATTTCAGCAAGGCTTTTGACACTGTCTCCCATAACATCCTCATACGGAAGCTCCGGGAGAGTGGACTAGACGAGTGCACGGTGCGGTGGATCGAGGGCTGGCTGGATGGCAGAGCTCAGAGGGTGGTGATAAATGGGGCCGAGTCCAGTTGGAGGCCTGTGGCCAGTGGTGTCCCCCAGGGGTGAGTACCGGGCCCAGTGCTGTTCAACTTGTTTATCAATGACCTGGACGAGGGCACGGAATGCACCCTGAGCAAGTTTGCAGATGACACCAAGCTGTGTGGAGTGGCCGACACTCCGGAGGGCTGCGCTGCCATCCAGAGGGACCTGGACAGGCTGGAGAGTTGGGCAGAGAGGAACCTCATGAGGTTCAAYAAGGACAAGTGCAAGGTCCTGCACCTGGGGAGGAATAACCCCAGGCATCAGTACAGATTAGGGGTCGACCTGCTGGAAAGCASCTCCACGGAGAGGGACCTGGGAGTCCTGGTTGACACCAAGTTCACCATGAGTGAGCAGTGTGCCCTCGTGGCCAAGAAGGCCAATGGGATCCTGGCCTGCATCAGGAGGAGTGTTGCCAGCAGGTCAAGGGAGGTGATTCTACCCCTCTACTCAGCTCTGGTGAGGCCGCACCTGGAGTATTGGGGGCAGTTCTGGGCTCCCCAGTATAGGAGGGACGTGGAGCTTCTCAAGAGGGTCCAGAGAAGAGCAACCAGGATGACTAAGGGAATGGAACATCTCTCGTATGAGGAGAGACTGAGTGAGCTGGGCCTGTTTTCTCTGGAGAAGAGAAGGCTCAGAGGGGATATGATTAATATGTATAAGTTCAGGAAGGGAGAATGCAGGGAGGAAGGGGACAAGCTGTTCTCACTGGTGGCCAGCGATAGGACGAGGGGTAATGGCCACAAGCTGAAGCACAAGAAGTTCCGTCTCCAGGTGAGGAGGAACTTCTTTACTGTGAGGGTGACAGAGCAGTGGAACAGGCTGCCCAGGGAGGTTGTGGAGTCTCCTTCTCTGGAGGTCTTCAAAACCCACCTGGATGCCACCCTGTGCCACATGCTCTAGGTGTGCCTGCTTGAGCAGGGGGTTGGACTAGATGATCTGTAGAGGTCCCTTCCAACCTTAAATATTCTGTGATTCTGTGATACACAAAAACACCTTGTTCTCTTAGAGAGGCAGAGAAGGGTGTTGGAGGTAGGAAGCCACAGGAGAAGGCAGGCGGAAAGTGGAAACTCTCCCCAACTCACCTGTGCTTGCTTATATTTCCATTCCCAGGAGAACACTTCCCCCCTCACCCCCGCTCCGACTGCTCTGTGCTGAGGCTGCCTTTCACCATCTTGTTCTGCAAGGAGGGAAGAGAGCAGGGAAGGAGGGGCTGACGAACCGGCAGGCCAAAGGGGAAGAGGGAGAAGAAAACAAGGAAGAGGGAGAAGAAAACGAGGCAGGACAGGAAGACAGGGGGAGGGCAAGAGAAGCACACACACAGTGAGAGAGAGAAAGAAAAGTCAGTATTAGAACCAGACACACGCCTTCAGACAGAGCTTTCCCTGTGACAAAAGCAGGTCATCTTGCAAAAGTAAAGAGTCTGGGATACGGAAATGTAAGAAACACAGAATTTAGTACAGAGCTCTGGCACAAACTCCCAGAAACATCTCCTAACTGAGTTGTGTTTGGCTTAAGTCAATCCAGGACTGCAGGGCCACCAAAGGCGACGTTTCCCATCCCATACACAGGCATCCCCAGCTGTACATCCCGCTCCTTCGCCTGCCTCCTCCTGCTCAGCACTGGTGGGGAGGCCCCCCCACGCACCCCTGGCTGCAGCAGGGCGCGGGGCGACCCATCTCCAAAGGGTACTCCTTTGCCAAGGGGGCTCTCCCGTGGTAAAAGCTGCTTTTCTGCCAAAGTAGCACACTGAGGACATGGCTGGCTGCAGCATCAGTGCCGACAGAAGGAAAAGGCCACTGGGGAGAAGAGTGAAAGGCAGGACGAGTCCCTCCGGCCTTGGTTTGCTTATGCCTGAGGAGCCAAGCAGAGCTAATGAGGCAGGGAGCCCCTCTGCTCTCCAGGAGCTGCTTATTATGATGATATTTACTGATATGAGGCACAGGCTAAAAAGGGTAAGAGGTACCTGCACTGGGGGACTTCCTACGTGTCAGTGGATTTACAAAGTTAGCTCTTCCACCCAGCAACTGAAGAGCCAAGTGTCAGACAGCTACTAATTAGCTACTATGGCTGGACTGATGTTACCTACAAGGCGAGCTTCAAACAGTCTCATCAAAAGGCTCTTTTGCTCTCAATTGCTCGCATCCATCTCTTGCAAAAATCTTCACGTAGTTTGTTTTCCACTCAGAAAGTGGTGGTTTCCACCCCTTCGCCTCCAGCCTTGCAACTAGCTGGACCTCCCCTTCCCAATCACCACGGTGGGAAGAGCAAGGCAAAGCCACATTTGCCCTGTGGAAGAATCTGGAGCAAACCAGTGACGAAGGGTGAACCGTGGAGCAAGGGCAGAGCCACGAGCACGGCAAGACAGCCCTGCCAGACTTCAACCAAGTGATCCATGTCTTTACTAGGCGAGAAGCAACAAACATCGGTATCAAAGAGAGGCTGCTAATGTCCAATTTCTGCTTTTTCCTGCAACGTTGTGCTGAGTTTTGCATAAAATTCACAGCTCCTATTGCCTCATAATGTACCTTTATCCAATCARTTGCCACTCCTTCCCTCACGCTCCTCAGGGTTACTTCAGCCATCAGTGCATCCATTTAAGTATCTTCTACATTAAGTATAAATTCTTGTCATAAAATGGTTGCGTTTCCTCTGGCAGTTTGGGCCTGATCACAGCAGTGGTGACCCAGCCAGCTCTGAAAAGCTTTTAAATCGTTTCCCTTTGACACTTCTTGGCAGCAGCCAAGTGAAATAAAAAGAGCCCTCACAGATACACAGTCTTCCTCTTTAGGCGAGTAACCAAAGTTGGGTAGAGGATGGCACTTCTGTAGCTGCATCCCTCTGCAAGGAGAGCTCCTTCCTTCCAGTATTTGCTGAGGTCTTCACAGAACATCAATGCATCAATTTAAGCTTGCTGTGCATCCCCAACACCATCTCCACAACTGTACAGAACAGGCTACTTTCTTYTATATGATGAAAATGTCGGCCAGGTCTGAATCGTAGGCTGAGCGTTCCCCCAGTTTTCCAGTATGAGCAGAAGGAATATATCCAACAGGGGAAAAACTACCACCCCTTTACCCTGGCATGTGTGCACGACTACAGCAAAGTGTGGCAGAGCATCTAGGCAGGAACGTGGGTCGCAACTCGCCTGTTTGCAGGAGACAGAGCCCAGGGCCTCAGCAGGGAGCGCAGACCAGCAGATGTCACTCGCAGCCCGAGGCAGGGACAGGACGAGCTCTGCAGCCTCGCGCTGAGCGGAGAGCAGCCCGTGCGAGCGGCGGCAGGACTGCCCCGGTCCCACCCGCCCCACACGTGCCGTCCGTGCACGCTGCACACCAATTACAGCATATCCAGCTAGCCACAACACAGCTATTTTTTCTGGATATGTTTGAGTATTCAACCCCCCCGGGGTGGACTGGTCTCCACTGGCTCCCGGGTTGCATCCTCATGTAGGTGCTGGGGGTGACTCGGAGCCGTTGCCTCCTCTCCCCTTTCCGGGGGGACGCCGCGGTGCAGCTCGGAGCACCGCATCACGGGCGGCACTGCRGCAGGGAATGACTCTTCTCTTCCTGAAGAAGCCCCAAGCAGCTACAGAACAAGCAAAGGGACAAGCACAGGCTGAGCAGCAGGGCTCGGTCTCATYGCTACCACTGAGCTAGGACAAGCGGGGTCCATTTCTGACAGCTTCTTCTTTCCAAAACCAGGGGAAACATTTCCACACGACATTTTCTTTCCTTCTTGCATCCTCAGCAATCCCAAGGAAAAAGAAAAACCACCAGAGCTTCCGTGTAACACTTGAACAGAAGCAGGGAGCAGGGTACTGATTCTATCACAAAAGACAGGAAATGAAGCTGGGGTTTTGTGAGAGTCATCAAGGATCTGAAGAACAACTAAACAGATACAGCAAAAGCTTCATTTATCTTCTTAAGTTCTCTATATTCCTCTGAAGTAGATGTTTGCCCCCAGAATGCACCACAAGAATACATCAGAGAAGAATTCATCTAAAAGCATCTCTGACTACTGATGTTATCCACGTGTACAATTATTGGAACAAATTTAGACCCCAGAAGAGGGCAGCAATAAACAGGCCTAACGCAAAGGAGAGTTCTTACCTTGTGCTTGGGGCACCTCACTGAGAAATTCTCTTCATTTAGTAAACAATCTAGAGGAAGAGAAGACAGCAATTTATTACTTTTTTAATAAAAAGACGRCCCTGAATCATACATCACCTGTGTTAATCCTGCCTCTCAGGCATGCATGTTTCAAAGACCTCTCACAGGAGGTCTTAGCAGATTCATCCCTCCCACTCACAAAGCTTTAGCAAATCCCACCAGCACGCAGCCCTGGTGACAATGTCGCCTGGATTACCAAGGCAAGCCCAGACACTCCCTGGTCTCCCCCAGCCTCTGTTCAGAGTAAGAATCACGAGGCTCCAAATCCCACCGCCCAGTCCCCGTCAGYAATTCCACATCACTGGAAGCCCAGACGCATCCATCCCATCTCAATGAGTGATCCCTGCTTTATATTCCAGGTGAAACCGCTGCCTTTCAACCAGYCTGACGCCAGGGCTGGCCAACAAAGGGGCAGCAGGGCTGTGGGTGCTCATCTGCAATCCCAAATCCTGCTGATCATTTTACACTTGGACACTGCGCCTGGTCCTCAGGTCACACGCGCTGCTCTTGGATCTGCTTCCAGGRTTTGTACGTTGTGAAGCTTCTGTGGTCTCAGGAGCAGTTTAATTAATGTCTTGAACCCACTAAGGAGGCCGGGGCTGCTCCGCAGAAGCGCTGGGAATGAACCTGGCACGGCCGCACCRCTTCCGACCCGCTCTGCCCCTCAACCTGCCGCGGCGCCGGCAAGCACAGCAGCACAATGGTAACTAAAACGTGGTAATTTAAAACACTCTTAAGTATGTAGCATAAGCAGCGCTACCTGCTGTTCCAATCTGCTGGAAGAGTTTAGCAGGCAGCGGGAGGCTGCAGCTAAAGCTTGAGGGAAAAGCCTTGTAGACACCCAAGCTTTGGCAGCGCTTCCCTCCGCGAGCAAGGGCTTGTGTTTCAACACCAAGGCCTCGGGCCCGAATCAAAGGGAAGCAGCATGCAGCAGGCTAAGTTACTTGAGAGGTTTTAGCAAGGAGGAGAAAACCTCTGAATCCTGCCATGGATAACAATTTCAAATGCAGTACTAGCACGAGACGTAAAATAAATAAAATATGGTCTCATTACAAAGGCAGGAAACCTACTTTTAGACCCAACCATGAATTATCCCTGTGCAATACAGCAAACATCAGAAATATACACAGTGTAGCAGAACAGGGAGATTTTTTTTCTTCCTTTCTCCCTTGGGAATTCCACCCTGGTGGTCAATGAACTCTCCGTCTCGTCCGTCGAAAAGGGAGATGACACAAACACCGGGAAAAGCTCACAGACACTTTGTGCCTCAGGAGGGAGCTGRGTATGGAGCTCAGGTTCTCACTAAGTTGGGGATTTTTGCAGCAAGCACCAATAGCAGATCCAATTAATGTTAACTTCTTTTTGTTTCCATTCCGATTTAAGAGGCTACTATGTGGCTGAGAGAYGGAAATACCAGCTCCCTGCACGGAACGGACTGCATACCAATAAGAAGGCCCAAGTCGTTCATCATTACCAAGCTGCACTGGATTTCGGCTGGCAATTCCAAACGATTTATATCACAGATGAGAATTCACCCCAAAGTCACCAGACATGCAGCTACACTCAGTTCAGCAGCAGAAGGGGAAAAAGAACAGAGCCTCGTCCCTGTTTGCGCAGATTTTCTGTATAAAGTAGTCAGAGAAAACCTAAACATTTTCAACAGAAGYAGTTATTCTTCTACAAGCTTCACACTTCGTCTCGCCCTCTGTGTTCTTCTTGTTTCCCATCTCCAACAACACTCACGGAGACACAGATTTCTGTTCCCTAAAATTCATTGTGTTTTGCTGGTATTTTTTCTCCTAATTTGCACTCAGAAGTCTTTTGTTTGTGATGCTTCCTACAAGGGCTGCTGGGGGGACGACTGTGCTGTGACAATCAGGATCTGACTCCAGGTGGATCTTACCAAAATCTCCGAAAACAAAGATCTCGTTTCCATGGAGACGTCCCTACGACTAAGTTATCTTGAGACATCAGAGGCTCGTTATAAATTTGGGCAGATGAAAGCCATGCCCAGACAATGCTAACCGCAGTCATTTCCACAGAGAGATTGTTTAAGTGGCAGTAGTAGTTTGGATTTTCATGCAGATGGCTACGAGGCGTTCAGCGCTCAGTCCCTAAAMTGACACTTGGTGTGAAGGGAGATGAAAAGGACGACTGCATCGGGGTGTAAGATAGTGGCCAGACGCACAAACTAGCAGGCACGTGCCTCACCTGGCAGCCACTTGACAAGGCCGGAGCCCAGCGCGGAGCCAGCCGGCAAGGCCGGAGCCCAGC